TTTGTAATTCATTTGTATGGTCTTTATGAGAGGGAGCGCAACTCTGGAGGGGCCCTCGGGCATCAGGCTATCCACCATCGGATCCTCCTGCTCAACCATTTCTTCTGCCTGGAAGCCCATATTGAGGGTGATCCCACAGAGTAGCTCCTGGTGAGCCCTGTGGTCAATCAGTGGCGGTCCTGAGACTGATGTGCTTGCCACTGCCTCATCTGGGGAAGAGGAGGAAGTGAGGTGCTGCAGGTTGCCCTTATCTAGACCCTCCTGTGTGTCCTCATATGCCTGGGTCACTTCAGGGCCCTGCAGGGCTTTGACACCTCTCGAGGTGTCGCAGAACTTGGCACCGCCTCAGGTACTGGGCCTGGAGGCGCGGTTGCTCTTGTGGGTCTGGGGGTGGCCTAGAGAGAGTGGCCTCCCTTGTCCTTGATGGGTGCCTGCGTGGCGACCTGGAATGGTGTCACATAGATTGTCCGGACCCAGAGGCTCTGGAGGAGATGCCCTGTTGCTGGTGGTAGGCCCATGGGGTCCAGAAAGGCCACTGACCCGGAGGAGGCCATTGTGGCTGCCAAGCTGGTTGGGATTCTCTGCTGGCTATTGCTCGATGTCTGCTATAGCTAGAGGGCCAGAGTCGGCCTCAGAGCTGGAGGATACTGATGGAGAGGACCAGGGTGGTGCCGAACATTGAGCGGTCGCAGGGTGCCGGGGAGCTGGGGAGGGGTGCCTGGCTGACCAGGACCACGAACGGTACTGGGAGTCTCGGGACCGGGATCAGTGTCTTGCACTCGGCGCCGGTGAGGTCCGGTGCCGGGCGACCAATGGTGTTGGGGACTGGCGTGCAGTCGCCGCGGGTGCCGCTGGCTGGTTCGTCTCTGGTGCCATAACCTCACTCTGGGTTGTGGGCACCAAGGAATAGTAAGTTTCAGAGTAACAGCCGTGTTAGTCTGTATTCGCAAAAAGAAAAGGAATACTTGTGGCACCTTAGAGACTAACCAATTTATTTGAGCATAAGCTTTCGTGAGCTACAGCTCACTTCATCGGATGCATACCGTGGAAACTGCAGCAGACTTTATATATACACAGAGAATATGAAACAATACCTCCTCCCACCCCACTGTCCTGCTGGTAATAGCTTATCTAAAGTGATCATCAGGTGGGCCATTTCCAGCACAAATCCAGGTTTTCTCACCCTCCACCCCCCCACACAAATTCACTCTCCTGCTGGTGATCCAAAGTGACAACTCTTTACACAATGTGCATGACAATCAAGTTGGGCTATTTCCTGCACAAATCCAGGTTTTCTCACATCCCCCCCACCCCCATACACACACAAACTCACTCTCCTGCTGGAATAGTAAGGAATAGTAAGGAATAGTAAGACGCCGAGCTCGAATGGGAGTGGTGCTGAGATGGTGACCTCAAGCGGCGCACCATTGCCGGCTTCCCTCTGGACCGCCCCCTTTTAGGTGGTGCCAGAGGCTTCTTCCTGCACGGGAGGGGGTTTGGGACCGACAACTCAATGAGGTCTTTTTCTGTCTCAAAAGTGTCGGGTGTGGAGGGGTGTTCGAGGACCTCCTCCAGGCCTTCGTCGACACTGAATCAGCTGGGTACCAGAATCAACAGGGCCTGTGGTGCCGGAGTTGATGGTGCTGGTTCTTGGCTCAGGCTCGCAATGTGTCTTTGCGTGTCAGGAGCATCTTTGAGCGGTTTAGTAGCTCTTTGGGAGAGCGCCCTCTTTCCCCTTGCTTGTGCTGCTTAGTTGGTGCCGGAGAGGTCGACCAATGCAGAAGTTGGTCGTCCCATCTCAGTGCTGGTGATTTACGGTGCCTGGGTGGTGCCGGGTCGCGCACGGATGCCAGGGCACTTTGCACCGAGGAAGCTGGGGCCAGTGCCGCTCGGTCAGAGGCCGGTGGTTGTAATGCAGCCTCCATGAGCAACTGCTTAAGGCGAAAGTCTCTTTCTTTCTTGGTGTGCAGCTTAAAGGCCTTGCAGATTTTGCAGCGCTCTGCCTGATGAGACGCTCCCAGACGCCGGAGACAGGAATCGTGGGGGTCGCTGTTAGGCATAGACTTGCGGCACATGGCATAAGCTTTGAAACCCTGGGCTTGCAGCATGCCCCACAGCCCCAGACTGGTGCTGGAACTAGCTTCCAGACACCTGAAACAATGGAGTTCTAACGAACTGGCAACTATCTAAGAACAAGACTGAAAGGCTAAGGGATCTCTCGCAAGCAAGAGAGAGAGAAAATATTCCAACACTGCCACGGACAATAAGAAGGAACAGAAAGGGGGGTCGGGCTGGCAGGGCAATATATCCCCTGCCATGAGGGCACCACTCTAGGGAGTTCCCCTGCCGTCCTGATGGGAGCGGCTAAGGGGGAAAGTTTCCAACGTCCATGCACGCAGCGCGCGCACATCTAATTAGAATGGACGTGAACAATCACTCAAAGAAGAACTTTCATTATGACCTGATTTGTTCAGCTGTGCTGAGTCCCCAGGTTTTTCAATGTGTGTTAATTATGTGGAAAGTTTGCAGGGTTGAATAAGGTGTCTGGAAGCTAGATGGGGCCCAGGAATACCTGTGACTCAAAAAAAAGTGATTTGTTAACATTTAGCTGAAAACCCTCAGAAGATTCAGCCTTTGCTCCCAGATTGCAGCTAGCAAGAGATGTTAAGAGTAACAAGAAGGGTTTCTTCAGGTATGTTGGCAACAAGAAGAAAGCCAAGGAAAGTGTGGGCCCCTTACTGAATGAGGGAGGCAACCTAGTGACAGAGGATGTGGAAAAAGCTAATGTACTCAATGCTTTTTTCGCCTCTGTCTTCACTAACAAGGTCAGCTCCCAGACTGCTGCGCTGGGCATCACAAAATGGGGAAGAGATGGCCAGCCCTCTGTGGAGATAGAGGTGGTTAGGGACTATTTAGAAAAGCTGGACGTGTACAAGTCCATGGGGCCGGACGAGTTGCATCCGAGAGTGCTGAAGGAATTGGGGGCTGTGATTGCAGAGCCATTGGCCATTATCTTTGAAAACTGGTGGCGAACGGGGGAAGTCCCGGATGACTGGAAAAAGGCTAATGTAGTGCCAATCTTTAAAAAAGGGAAGAAGGAGGATCCTGGGAACTACAGGCCAGTCAGCCTCACCTCAGTCCCTGGAAAAATCATGGAGCAGGTCCTCAAAGAATCAATCCTGAAGCACTTGCATGAGAGGAAAGTGATCAGGAACAGCCAGCCTGGATTCACCAAGGGAAGGTCATGCCTGACTAATCTAATCGCCTTTTATGATGAGATTACTGGTTCTGTGGATGAAGGGAAAGCAGTGGATGTATTGTTTCTTGACTTTAGCAAAGCTTTTGACATGGTATTCTTGTCAGCAAGTTAAGGAAGTATGGGCTGGATGAATGCACTATAAGGTGGGTAGAAAGCTGGCTAGATTGTCGGGCTCAACGGGTAGTGATCAATGGCTCCATGTCTAGTTGGCAGCCGGAGTCAAGTGGAGTGCCCCAGGGGTCGGTCCTGGGGCCGGTTTTGTTCAATATCTTCATAAATGATCTGGAGGATGGTGTAGATTGCACTCTCAGTAAATTTGCGGATGATACTAAACTGGGAGGAGTGGTAGATACGCTGGAGGGGAGGGATAGGATACAGAAGGACCTAGACAAATTGGAGGATTGGGCCAAAAGAAATCTGATGAGGTTCAATAAGGATAAGTGCAGGGTCCTGCACTTAGGACGGAAGAATCCAATGCACCGCTACAGACTAGGGGCCAAATGGCTAGGCAGCAGTTCTGCGGAAAAGGACCTAGGGGTGACAGTGGATGAGAAGCTGGATATGAGTCAGCAGTGTGCCCTTGTTGCCAAGAAGGCCAATGGCATTTTGGGATGTATAAGTAGGGGCATAGCGAGCAGATCGAGGGACGTGATCGTTCCCCTCTATTCGACATTGGTGAGGCCTCATCTGGAGTACTGTGTCCAGTTTTGGGCCCCACACTACAAGAAGGATGTGGATAAATTGGAGAGAGTCCAACGAAGGGCAACAAAAATGATTAGGGGTCTAGAACACATGACTTATGAGGAGAGGCTGAGGGAGCTGGGATTGTTTAGTCTGCAGAAGAGAAGAATGAGGGGGGATTTGATAGCTGCTTTCAACTACCTGAAAGGGGGTTCCAAAGAGGATGGCTCTAGACTGTTCTCAATGGTAGCAGATGACAGAACGAGGAGTAATGGTCTCAAGTTGCAGTGGGGGAGGTTTAGATTGGATATTAGGAAAAACTTTTTCACTATGAGGGTGGTGAAACACTGGAATGCGTTACCTAGGGAGGTGGTAGAATCTCCTTCCTTAGAGGTTTTTAAGGTCAGGCTTGACAAAGCCCTGGCTGGGATGATTTAACTGGGAATTGGTCCTGCTTCGAGCAGGGGGTTGGACTAGATGACCTTCTGGGGTCCCTTCCAACCCTGATATTCTATGATTCTATGATTAAGTGTTGTAAATTGAGGAAGATGCACTGTATTCTTAGATGAAAAACTGAACCCAACCTTAACTATGGAATAGCTGCTGTCAATTCCATAACAATTATGTCAGAGCACAGGTAACCATGAGGCTCACAGGCAGGTCGTGCATATACGAGAGGCCCATGGGGACAGACTGTCTCTGTCCCTCCATCTCTTTTACTGTCATTTTCTACTAAGGACAGTTAAATACCACCTTATTGACACCCCTTTTGTAGCCCTGCTCGAGAATGTCACCAATCACAGATTAGGGCTCAGGCATTGTCCTACTTGCAACCTGGAGTAGAAGAGTGCCTTGGACTAGGGTCAGATATTGGACTGCAGCATATTACATATGGAGAATTACTGTGGGCCAGATTTTGACACCTGTGCTCAGGATGAGTTGCACCTTACTCTGCAAATAGTGACACTGAAATCAATGAAGCTACCTACTCATGGAGCAGGGAGCTATTCACCATGCAGAAGGGTATGACAGGCTGACCCTCTGTAAACAGGGAACTCACCGGTTCCGGGTGTACTTATATGCTGCATCCACCAGCTGCTTGGCTTCATCAACACTGCTCAGAAGGGATGGAGCCGACAGCATCCCTGAGATATCTAGTCCAAAGAGAAGAAGGAGCATGACATGAGGATAACTCCTTCCCACAAGTTCACTCCACAAATCAGGATTTGCTGTATATATTGGAGCAAGTCTCTGCCCATCGCAAGTTGAATCTTCCCTGAGGCTCACCATCTGGCCTCTGTCCCACTCTCCTCAGATCATATACTCACTCTTACAGCTATTCAATACCCACAGAGCTTGGACATTCAAAGATTAGGTTTCCTTTGTACTATTAGCTCTCCCATATAGTACATGTTGCATCAAATTCTACCCAAAATTACTGACATGTGCTTTGAAACTTGACTCCAGTTTAATGTACCTTTTGTCTGAGAATTGCCCTGTTCTCTTTGCACTATTATTTCTCCACATGGTACCTACTGGGGCAGGTTCTGCCTAGTTGCTTCTATGTGCCCAAGCTGAACTGAAGAGCTCTGTGTAGCTTGAAAGCTTGTCTCTTTTACCAATAGACACTGCTCCAGTAAAAGACATTATCTCATCCACCTTGTCTCTCTAGCTGAAACAGACATTTATAGAGCAGAACAGGTTTGGATTTCTTTTAAGTTTAGTCTTTACTCTGAATTTCTTGGGCTCATAACAATTGTTTATGGGATAGTTACAACATTCCTGTTATGTTTGTTATCCTAAACTACTGATACGTACTCTGAAACTTGATTTCACTTTAATGTAGCTTTTGTCTGAGAATCGTCTTGATTTTAAAAAAATAATAATTTGCTTTTCATTTTTATGGCCAGATCTACTGGTTCAGGCTAACGTTTTTCTGCCCCTTGGAAGCAGCACAAAGCAGCAAGTACTGGCCATGGAAGTTGGGTTTACAGCTGCTTTGCATCTCCACAGTATAGCAAAGCAGTTGGAATACATTTTTTCCTCCCTCTTTCCTGTCCACATTCCCCTGAAGACACATTCTGGTTTCCACCTCCCTCCTGCTATCCCCTGTGTACCACTACACATGCTCCCCTCCTCCCCGCTCCCCCGAATAGGGCTGGTGCAATGGGTAGTTTCTGAAATGAAAGGTACAGAGCTAATTGTCTTTCCCATTACTCTTCATCACTGAAAGTCTGGAAGAACAATGAGAGAAGACAGACCTTTTGCAAAAGGGAAATTCATAGTGAGTTTCTCTGAAAAAAATTATTATTCTTCAGCCTCTGCCAAAAAAGAAACTTTCAGTTATGAAGAAAAATGAAGAATTCACAATTTATGCTAAAAATTATTTGTGGCATTACGCCCCATATTCTTCATGGTATTATTATTATGATATGAGTATGGCATAATTATGATATATTTGGTACAAGATAAGGCATGTGAGATATCATTGAAGAGGTTATGATTTACTGAATATGATTATCCTATTTGTATGTATGTATCATTCTGGTATCTGAAGTTAGATATATTGAAATGTGCTTACACCTGGGGAACACCCACTAGATAGAATGCAATCAGTCTAGATGGCTGGCTGGGAAGGGCCATTAGGGAAAACAATAGGTCTGAGAAGATGCTAATCTCCGACGGGGGAGCCTTTCTGAGGACGCTACAAACAGCATCTGATTCATGGCTGCTGTGGCCTTACAGAGACATGTGGCCAAGTCACTTGGTACTGGACTCCATCATAGAATACCAGTGTTTTTTCATTGAAAGGCATGGGTTGGCGACAAAGTTGGCGACAAAGGGTTTCCGCCATTTGCAAAAACTATTTAAGGCAGGGGAGTGACATCATTGGGGTTCTTCTTGGACTCCCTGCCCAAGAGAGACTGCTGGAAACATCTGAGGAACAAGGACTGGAACTGGGGAGAAGGGCTGGACCCAAGCTAGAGGGGTTTCTAGCCTGTGAAAGGAATAACGGGTTTTAAGTTGCAAGAAAGTGCAGCTTGCTCTCAAGACTCTGCAAACTGCCTAAATCAACACTTAGGGTGAGAATTTGCTACCGATATCCAATTTCTTTAGTATATTAAGCTTAGATTGCATTTTTGTTTAGTTGCAAGGTAATCTGCTTTGATCTGTTTGCTATCTCTTATAATCACTTAAAATCTATCTTTTGTAATTAATAAACTTGTTTTTGTTTTGTCTAAAACCAGCGTGTGGACATTATAACTTGGGGCAGAAAACTTTTGCATCTCTCTCTCCACGTTGAGGGAGAGGGCGAACTTCATGAGCTTACAGTTCTCTGTGCAGTTCTGTGTGCAGCACAAGACTGTATAATTTTGGGTTTACCCTCCAGAGGTGTGGTGTGCCTGAGAAGCTGGTAAGTACCCTAGTTGTATAGCCTTCCCATGCAGGGGCTGATCAGAAAGCCTGTTTGCATGTTACAACAGGTGTGTGTCCCTACCTGTGTGTATGCTGATCGAAAGAGCAAGCTTGGAGAGCTTAGCAACTTGTCACAGCAGCACAGTGTGAGAGGGAACCCAGGCTGGTGGGTCTGGGAGGCTCAGTGGTACCCAGTTCCAGGTGGCACCCCAGGGGGAACCCGTGACATTATTGTACACAGTTATTTAGCTAGATCTATTCAAAATTCACCTCTCTGCCAATTATTGTATGGACAGACAATGTCCAAGCTGAGATCATTTAAGAAAAAAAAATGGTCTGATACGGCGTGCTAAATTTCTTAAAGAACCCATTTAAAATTCATTTTAACTTATAAACAAATTAGCAGATTTATATGTAAAGTCTCAGAAAATTCCTTCCAGATTCAAAGAGTAAGTGCTATAAATTTGGGAGACCAGGCTGCATTTTTCATGCCTCGATGGTCCCTCTAAGGACAGTGGGCCCAGCTTTCTTGTGTCTGCAGCTGGACCTGATTAGGAATGTGGGGTGGCATCTGGGGCCAAGGAAGACAGAAGGAAATTTGGGTAAGAGAGGATAGCAAAAGCCTGGGGGTTGGAGAAGGAGGGAGGCCAGGAGAGACTTGCCTGCTGCCCTCCCCAAGCCAAGAAAGCCAAAGGGCTGAAGAAGGCTGAGGGCCAGGGGAGCAGCAAGGGACTTGTCCAAGTCTGAAGAAGGCTGAGGGCCAGGGGAGCCCAATGACTTGTCCAAGTCTGAGAACAGACAGTATGAGAGGGTGCTGGACCATCTCCTGGAGGAGAAAGGATGCCAGGTAGGAACGCAGGGAGTTCCTGATGGACAGAGCAGGGAAGGATTTCAGATAGAAGGAGCTAGGGGGCTCCTGGATAAAAAGCAGACTAGAACTTAAGAAGAGCCCTGGGGCTGGTGGAAGGTCTCGGAGCTGTACAGATGCTGTGTTGATGGGCTGTATTCAAGGACTTGGAGAACGGTTTGAATTGTTGACATTAATAAACCAGGTATTATTGCCCAAGCAGAGGTATTATTGCCCACAAGAAAGCCACTAGTGAAGTTCTTGAGCACCTTCAAGAAGGATGTGGATAAATTGGAGAGAGTCCAGCGAAGGGCAACAAAAATGATTAGGGGTCCGGAACACATGAGTTATGAGGAGAGGCTGAGGGAGCTGGGATTGTTTAGACTGCAGAAGAGAAGAATGAGGGGGATTTGATAGCTGCTTTCAACTACCTGAAAGGGGGTTCCAAAGAGGATGGCTCTAGACTGTTCTCAATGGTAGCAGATGACAGAACGAGGAGTAATGGTCTCAAGTTGCAGTGGGGGAGGTTTAGATTGGATATTAGGAAAAACTTTTTCACTAAGAGGGTGGTGAAACACTGGAATGCGTTACCTAGAAAGGTGGTGGAATCTCCTTCCTTAGAGGTTTTTAAGGTCAGGCTTGACAAAGCCCTGGCTGGGATGATTTAACTGGGAATTGGTCCTGCTTCGAGCAGGGGTTGGACTAGATGACCTTCTGGGGTCCCTTCCAACCCTGATATTCTATGATTCTATGAGGAGGAAAAGCTGACAGGGCCCCTGCAAATATCATGCCTGTCACAAGGGAGCAATTAGGGATAAAGAGAATCTGTCTGAAGCCTTGTGGCTCTGTGGTTAAGATTGAGTTGAGTTCTGCACTTAAACCAAGTGTCCGAATCCCTGCTTTAAGAGCAAAACTCAGATTAATCTGAACTGTGCAGCCACAACTGGTGCCTCCATAATTAAATGCAGAGAAATCTGTAGCTAAGGTTGAGTTTTGAGGGAGATTCAGTCTCTGTTGGGCATGCAGCATGCAGCACATCCTCCCTAACATTATAGCATTTGCTCTCTGAGTACTGAACGAATATAAATAAAACCAATAACATCTCTGTTCGACATGGCTGAACAGCAACAGGACACTAGCTGTCAGAAACTCGCCATCCTGTAGAATGACCAGTGCAGGAGAGGGAAAGGGCACTTGGGTCTAAGCGATTCTGAAAAGGCAAATTATCAACTGCTGGTTTGTTTTCCTGAGCAAGCTGTTTATTTCTTTTGTGGTTCAGCTTTTCTCTAGGGAAGATTTCTGTGCAGGTGACATGTTTAATTCCTGATGCCATTGTAATTTTGCACTTTTTCCTTCTCAAAAATATAAACCACTTTTTAAAAAAAAATCTTTTTCAAACTTATTATAGAGAGCAGGAGGGGCAGGAGAAAGGGGCAATACCTTTCAAGGAAGGTCCAGATCCCTGGCACAGGCTCAGCGTTACCAGGAATCCGAAGAGGGTGATTGCTGGCTTCATCCCTGGAAAGATACACAAATACACCTGGGTTAGTGGCAATGAAGGGTGTCCAGGATTCACAGATTTCACCCACCCATCAAAAGAGCTCAATGCCCAGAGCTCTGACTGCCCCTCTCCTCGGTAAGGTTCAACTCCAGGCCAAAATCTCCTGCCTTTGGGTACAGATGGAGTCAGCTCCCAAGAAGTGAGGGGTTATTTTCAATCCAGAAGAGAGCCGCTGCCATGGTACACGGCAGCCGAATCCTCGGCTCATTCATACCACTGCAAGTCAGGCATAACTCCACCGAAGTCAATGGCATTACCTTGGTACAAAACCACTGGGCAAGGAGCTGGAAGCCCCGTAGGTGAGTGCCTGCACCTCAGCCCCTCTGCTCAGGTGGCACGTCCTCTTGCTATTATCTGGTGACAACAGCAGAAAAGCTCATTGCATCACACCCTTTTGATGTGTGAAGTCACTTCCACTTTGTTCAATGGTGTGTCCCACAGGAGCACCTCCTGTGTGCATCGCTCCCTGAGGAGCTGTGAGGGCAGTGGTCCCCTCCTGCGTGCATCGCTTCCTGAGGAGCTGTGAGGGCAGTGGTCCCCTCCTGCGTGCATCGCTCCCTGAGGAGCTGTGAGGGCAGTGGTCCCCTCCTGCGTGCATCGCTTCCTGAGGAGCTGTGAGGGCAGTGGTCCCCTCCTGCGTGCATCCCTCCCTGAGGAGCTGTGAGGGCAGTGGTCCCCTCCTGAGTGCATCGCTCCCTGAGGAGCTGTGAGGGCAGTGGTCCCCTCCTGCGTGCATCGCTCCCTGAGGAGCTGTGAGGGCAGTGGTCCCCTCCTGCGTGCATCGCTCCCTGAGGAGCTGTGAGGGCAGTGGTCCCCTCCTGCGTGCATCCCTCCCTGAGGAGCTGTGAGGGCAGTGGTCCCCTCCTGCGTGCATCCCTCCCTGAGGAGCTGTGAGGGCAGTGGTCCCCTCCTGCGTGCATCGCTCCCTGAGGAGCTGTGAGGACAGTAGTTCCCTTCTGTGGAGCAGGAGGGACTTGTAAAAGGCTCAGTTCTGAAAATGTAGAAATTAGAATAGGAACTGGCCAAGAGAGGTGTAGCAGGAGAAAGACTGAGCCACCCTCCTCCCTGCTCCACAGGTAACTTTGGTGGGGCGCGGACAGGGCAGTGGACCCAGCTGGGCACAAGGTAGGGGGTCGCTGGGGAAGGCTCCGGGGGCAGAGTCTCTCTGCACAGCCAGAGGTAGGGATATTGCGCATGCCCCTCCCTCTGCTGAGATGTCCACGGGGGCACGGGCACTCCAGGGAGACACTGGTGCTGTGAGTCAGGCTGGAGCTGGATGCCCAAGCCCAGAGGCACGTTCTCCCTGCTCCTGAGGTCCCAGCCTCCCAGGAGCCAGCGGGATTGGCTGTCCTGGCCCAGGGAGGTGGGGCTGGAAGTTCATCCCAGGGGCAACACATTGTGCCCCCCCAGTATCAGCAGGCAGGAGTCATCTATGCCTGAGACCTTTAAAAGAGCTCAAGTGTTAGGATGAGTGTGGGGAGCACAAGTAACATCTAAATCCAGGAACTATGCCAGGGATGCCGCTGGTATGGGGAGGCCCTCTACAGCTTGGGCTGCCAGGAGCAGATGAATGGTGCTAAATGAGCAGCAGTACAGCAAGGCCAACAGGCCGCAGCTGGGATCAGCCCCATTGTGCCAGGCTCTCTCTCTCTATAGCGAGAGACAGGCCTTGGTCCACAGACTTTCCAACCAACCAGACAAGAGGGCACAGAGAGATCAGGCGTTGCAGCCAAGGTCCCCAGGAGTCTAGAGCAGTTCCAGCAAATGAACCCTGAGTCTTAGTCGGTACAAAACCGCCCTTCGTCTCCACCTAGCCTTCTCTTCAGCAGGGAGCTGAGTCTCATGGAGTCATAAAATCTAAGGGGCCATTGTGATCATCTCATCTAAAGCACAGGCCATTGGACTTCCAAGAACCAATTCCTGTTTGAACTAGGGCTGATCTTTTAGAAAAACCCCCAATCTTGATTAAAAATAGTCAGTGATGGAGAATCCGCCACAACTCCTGGTAAACTGTTCCAACGGCTGTTAAAAATATTCCTTATTTCCAGTCTGAATTTGTCCAGCTTCACTTTCCAGCCATTGGATCATGTTACACCTGTCTCTGCTAGACTGAAGAGCACTCTTTTATCAAATTTTTCTTCCCCATGTAGTTACCTACAGTCAGTGATCAAGTCACCCCTTAACCTTCTCTTTGTTAAACTAAATAGATTGAACTCCTTGAGTCTATCACCATAGGGCAGGGGTGGGCAAACAGCCAGGCATGGCCCAGCCCCCGCCTCCTATCTGACCCCCCCGCTTCTCGCCCCCCCTGATGGCTCCCCCGGGACTTCTGCCCCATCCACCACCCCCTGCTCCCTGTCCCCTGACTACCCCCGGACCCCTCACCCCTGACTGCCCCCTGCCGCCCCATCCAATCCCCCCCATTCCTGACTGCCACCCCAGGACCCCTGCCCCATCCAATCCCCCTGTTCCCTGCTCTCTGACCGCCCCGACCCCATCCACACCCCGACCCCTGACCACACCCCCGAACGCCCCTGCCCTCTATCCAGCCCCCGCTACCCCCTTACCACACTGCCTGGAGCACCGGTGGCTGGCGGCGTTACAGCCGTGCCGCCCAGAGCACCGGCTCAGGCCACGGCTCTGCAACTGCGCTGCCCGGCCACCCAGAGCATTGTGCCGGCAGTGCAGAGCGCTGAGGCTGCAGGGGAGGGGGAACAGCAGGGGAGGGGCCGGGGACTAGCCTCCCGGGCCAGGAGCTCAGGGGCCGGGCAGGAAGGTCCCGCGGGCCATATATGGCTCGCGGGTCATAGTTTGCCCACCTGTGCTACAGGGCATAATTTACAAGACTTTAATTATTCTTGTGGCTCTTTGAACTTTCTCCAGTTTCTCAACATCCTTCTTGAATTGTGGACACCATTCTGAACACAGGAGTCCAGCAGCAGTCGCACCAGTGCCAGATACAGAAGTAGAATAACTTCTCTAGTCTATCCAAGATTCCCTGTTTATACAGCAAAGGATTGCACTAGCCCAAAGGTCCCCGAACTGTGGGGTGAGCCCCCTAGGGGGGCATGGAGGAACCTTTGCAGGGGGCGGGGGGCCAGCCCAGCCCCGACAAGGAGTGGGGAGAGAGCGCTATCCAACCCTGCCCTGCCACCAGCTCTGCTCTGGCCCCACCCCCAGCCATGGCCCCAGCTCCCAGACCTGCGACTGACCCGTCCCCAGCTTCGTGACTCCACACCTGGCCAGGGGCCCAGCTGCCAGCCCCCAATGTGGCCCGGCTGCAGCTCTGTTCCTGGCCTCACCACTGCCTCCAGGCTCGGTCCCTGGCCGCAGCTCTGGCCACAGCCCCGGACCCACCCCCGGCAGCAGTAGGGTTGCCAGGTGTCCGGTTTTCTACCAAAATGCCTGGTCAAAAAGGGACCCTGGTGGCTCCAGTCAGTGCTGCTGACTGGGCTGTTAAAAGTCCAGTCAGCAGTGCAGCAGGGCTAAGGCAGGCTCCCTACCTCCCGTAGCTCTGCGTGGCTCCCAGAAGCAGCGGCATGCCCCCCCCCCGGCTCCTACACATAAAGGCAGCCTGGGGGCGCCACGCACTGCCCCCACCACAAGCGCCGGTTCAGCAGCTCCCATTGGCCGGGAACTGCAGCCAATAGGAGCTGCGGAGGCAGCGCCTGAAGACAGAGCAGTGTGCAGAGCCTCCTGGCCATGTCTCCACATAGGAGCCGGAGTGGGGTGTGACGTTAGTGTCATGAACTGGGACCCTATAGATCATTTTTGCAAGTAAAGGCCTGTAGTGGCCCAAATCTTACATAAAGGGGGTCATATAAGGTGTCTAAGACAAGGTTATGGTTTGCTGGTTATGATTATGCTGTCTATATGTGTGTATCATTTTTGTAGTTGAAGTTATGAATATTGGCTCTATACTGTCTGTATTTCAAACTTGTGCTGTGTTTCTGGGGAACACTCCAGACAAGTTGGTGTCAGCTCTGCCTAGCCTGCTTGGTGGCCCATTAAGGACCATCAGACACAGGCACCAACTTTTGTCAGCGCCCGTGGATGCTCACGCCCCCCCCCCGCCCCTCCCCCCCAGCTCCGCCCCTCCCTGCCCCTATTGGATCCCTCCCCAAATCCCCACCCTGGCCATGCCTCCTCCCCCAAGTGCACCACGTTCCCCCTCCTCCCCGCTCCCTCCCTGGCTTGCCACACAAAACAGCTGTTTTGCAGTGCAAGAGCTGGGAGGGAGTGGGGGAGAAGCAGGACCCAGAAGCGCGCTCAGGGGAGGAGGTGGAGCAGAGTCGGGGGTGAGCTAGGGTGGGGCGGGGAGCTGCCGGTGGGTTCACAGCACCCACCAATTTTTCTCCGTGGGTGCTCCAGCCCCGGAGCACCCATGGTGTCAGTGCTCATGCCATCAGCGACACAACTGACCCAGTGAGAGAAGGCAGACACGCCTTGGGACTCAGCAAGGTGTGCAGGGACCTGCCTAAGGACAGAACTCTGAGGGTTTTCCAGGCCATGTGCTGGGCAGCTCGTCCTTGGGACAAAGAAAGAGACCACATGGCAAGAGACTATAAAAAGCTGCTGCAGCTCCTCCATCTTGTCTTCAATCCTGCTTCCTACCTCTGGAGGGACTTTGCTACACTGAAGCTTTGAACGAAGGACTGAAAGACCCACCACAGCTGTGGATGTTCTCCAGAGACTTGATTTGAACCTGCAGTTTATTCTATCACTGCTGCAAGCCTGAACCAAGAACTTGGCCATTACTGTATGTCATTGATTCCATTGAACCAATTCTAGCTCTCATCTCTATTTCTTTCCTTTTATGAATAAACCTTTCGATTTTAGATTCGAAAGGATTTGCAACAGCGTGATTTGTGGGTAAGATCTGATTTGTATATTGACCTGGATCTGGGGCTTGGTCCTTTGGGATTGAGAGAACCTTTTTTCTTTTACTGGGACA